TTAGGGACGTGTGTCCCCGCCCTGCACGATCTTGGTGTGAGGGATCTTCAATCCGTGTCCCCTCACCCCTCGTCACAACCCGACACGGAAGAGCGGCAAGAGTTGGGGCTGCGGCTACGGCTGCGGCTACGAGAGGGGCCGGGGTCGCGGGAGAGCCGCTGCGCCGCGTGGACGCGCCTACACCGCTCTTGCTCCGCTCGCCACCTCTCGCAAAGGTCCAAAGTCATAGCCATCACCTCCTCCGGCAAGTCCTTTTCGCCTATCTTGCCGTCCCTCCAATCCTGGAAGAGCTCGTCGTCATAGCCGTATTGCATCACAGCCTGCTGCACTGCGTCGTGTACAACCCCTGCCACCCTATCCCGCGCCTCGGCGTCGGAAAAGTATTGGTCGAGCTCGGAGTCATACTCGGAAGCAGGCGCAGATGGCCGCGGTGATTTGGCAGGCGGCGAGGAGGGGGAGGGGGAGCGCGGCGGTGCGCGCTCGTGGCTCCCGCTGGTGCCAGAAGGGCCAGCGCCCAGCGCGCTCAGCCTGTTCTTGTTCACCTTGGGAGAGGGGGGTGGGGGTCCACCTCCCTTGGGTGCGGGCTGGCGGTCAGGCTTGCGCTTGACCGCCTTGCCCGGCGGCTTGCGGCCATGGTTCCTCATGGTGAACCTGTCCGGCATGCCGCCCTTCCCAACCCTGGTCCACCCCTCGGGCGACTCGTTGGGCTGGGGTTGCTGCACCTGTTGGTGCTGCGGGTGTGCCTGCGGTGCTGCTGCCGGAGCTGCAGCGGCGGCAGGCGGTGCTGCGGGCGGTGCCGCGGCGGAAGTGGCAGCAGGCACAGGCTGCGGTGGGGCACTGCCCTCCTTGGCCTGCTGCCGCTCCCTGTCCCTCTCCCACTGGGACTGGGGCTGGACAATGAACTGCTTGCCCGTGGGCGTCGGGTTGACGCTGAAGCTCCACCAGTTGTTCTCCACGGCGAGCCGCGAGAGGATGCGAATCATCGCCTCGTCTTGCGGCGCCACCGCCTCTCCTGTGGCTTGCGCGCACAGTTTGAGCCTGGCCGCAACGGACGGGCCATCGCAGTCATGTACGAGACGGCTTTAGTTTTAAAGGCTTTACACAGAACACACACGTGTCACACACATGTCTCAGCCGTCCACAGTCTCAGTGTACAAACACATCAGTCAGTCATCACACAGTCTCTTGACTCTTCATACATCTCTTTTTGAGATGATCTGATGAAGTGATGATCAGAATTCAGATCATCTCATACATACCGTAGTTCATTTTCACAGTGAGTGCGAGTCGTGCGACCCCAGAGAGGCAGAGCCCTCAGCCCAGTGTGTGCAGACTTGCAAGTGAGAACTGAGATCGCGGTTGGCGCGTCAAGTCGTGTAGGTGTTACGTCGCCTCGTTTTTGTGTGGCTGAATATGACTCAAAAACAGTCACCGGCCGGGGAGGGCCGAGGGCTCGCCTCAAGAGCTAGTTGGAGTCCCTCGCAGCTATACGCGGCGGCAGCACGGGGCGGCGAGACCGAGA